CATGAGTCTGTTGTTAAAGCAAAACCCAGAACTTTCTAGAATTTTCTAGAATGAATTTTACGTTTTTGAAAAAGAAAACTGTGAAAATGCAGTGAATTAAGATGAAAGAGATAGTTACGATAGTTCTAGTAGTGACTTACTACCGGATCGATTCAGACAATGATTCTGGACCGACCTGTAGGTTGTAGATGAAAGTGACAATTACGATAGTTCTGGTAGTGACTTACTACCGGATCGATTCAGACAACGATTCTGGACTGACCTGTAGGTTTGACAGCAGGATACATGGACAGACATCAGGCGAACAGAACAGAAGCTCAGAATGATTCAGAATGTTATTATGGACCAACCTGGTAGTCGAAAACATGGGCAGACCTCAGACAGACAGCCAAGCTCAGATCGAATGAGAAAATCCTTCTGAATCGATCGGTATAATAAAAGGCGGGCCTGCCTCAAGTCGTTCTGGGTGTTACAAACGTTAAGAGATGATCGCAATGCATAAAAGAAAAGTACATATATATTGAAGAGTTGACAGTGTTCTACCTTTACTCGTACTGCTGATCGAAGATTAAAATTTAACATTGCTCTTTGAGGAACAACCACTAATTGTAATATTCTCTAAGCATAATAAACGCAATAAACGCACAACACAATTGAAAGGAAATTTAAGTTTTTGCATATTCTTTATATTTTTCGCCTGAAACAAAATCTGGTTAATAACTGCAATAATGGCAATGCGTAATAATAATAAAAATTGTCCTGAAAAAGGACTTATGTATGGTGAAATATTTGCGCGAACTTTTCGGAAAACCCAGCGAGTATTAAAGTGTTGTCCAAGTGAAGTTTTCGCCTGAAAACTAATTCATACGAAAAGTGTAATCTTTGCCTTTTCATTTTTCTTTTCTTTATTTTTTCTTTCCTATTTCTATCAGCAATAAAAGTTTTCTTTTATTATTCGCTATCAATAACTCAATGTCACATTCGTTCATGTAATGAAAAATAACAACAACAACAACAACAACGAGCCGATTATAAATTATAACAAAAAAATGCAACTTAAAAAGGTAGATATAATAGGAGTCCGCTGAGCTTACTATTTTAATCATGCAATAGAAACGGATCTATGGAAAGTGTAATGCCCACGAGTCGATTCAACTCATTTTTGTACTCAATCTAGAGCATAATTTAAAACCAAGGTTAATTAATTGTCTTATTAAAATATTCGAAATGATTCCTTTACCACTTGATGTACGGTGTACATTAAGTTTGTACGGACGGCAGTGAGACCCAGAAGGACTTAAGATAGGCCCTACCCTTTATTAGGTTGATGGATTCAGAAAATGAATTTGCACTTATCTGTCCGTCCATTCGTCCTTCCGTCCGTCCGTCCGTCCGTTTGATGTCTCTCCATGTAGGCATTCTCCTAACAATATTATATAATTTTTTTTGTATTTTGTATCAATTAAGCAAAATGGTCGGCTTTGTCCGACTATAGCATTAACATACTAAACTAAATTTTCAACTAAAATGTATGACAGTAACAAGGGGGAAAAAGGAAAACGTAAACAATTTTCGCCACTTATCACCTCAAACCAGTATTGAAGAATTTGTAAAATATTTTACTAAATGTCGGCAATAGTTGTATTAAATTTTTCGAACAATCAATCAGACATTGCAACTTTTAGACCCGTGTAGCCATCACTTGTGATGCAAGAGTGAAGTAAACTTGTGCTACGCAGAAAGACTCGGGATGCTTTTATTATACTAAGGGGTTCAAAAATTGATACTAAATCGATCTAAATTTGTCTATCCCGCTGTCCGTTTTACTATTCTTATCCTTGTCGGAATGAATCGGATCGGAGCACTTTCTCAACCATGTGCCTTGTTAAACGAATAACTGCAGAGTTGGTTTAGGGTATTTACCTAGGGATGGGTCCTCCTGTCCCACTACAGTGTTTTTACTTCTTAACTATTTTATTACAAGTCTTACTTACTAAGATCATAACGCGTGTTTTGATCTTGTCCATCTTCAAACCTAGTCTATATGGTCTTAATGGGGAAATTTAGAAATTCTTTACGACAGTAATTGTTCGCAAAATAAACAACAAACAAAGAGAAAGAAAATTTGAGTTAATTTGCCTTGATTAACTCGCTAAGGGAAACATTTGTACCCGCTTATCTCAATTTTTTCGGGTGCATTTGCAATCTTTACATTGAGATGAGGAAGGGGAAAAAATCTCTTAAATCGTGGGCACCGCTTCAAAAAAAAAAAAAAAAAAAAAAAAAAAAAAAAAAGTTCCGAAACGTAAGTTAAGGAAAGCAAGATAATGTGTTACTCACGTGACTAAACTAGATTAGCGAAGAAGGTCAGAAAATTGTTTGAGATAGAGCCGTGGAGCGATCCACCCTCGTTACAGATTAAAACAACTTTGCTTTGCTTTTATTTGGCAAAAATTGTCAAACAATTTAAAGATGATAAAGAATTTAACCTTTAAAAGTCTTCTCGTCCTATCTATATGGAGTTGACATCGCCGAATTCAACTATCTCTCTCGCTCTCTCTCTCTCTCTCTCTCTCTGTATCACGATTATTTTACATCTATTTACCCGTAAACAACTATACTTTATGACTCATACTTATTATTATGTTGATTTTGCAGATCAAGCAAAATTTTCATAATTTCTCTTCTCTTTGAATTTGTTTGTTGCCCTTTTTTTGTCATGTTTTGTTTTATTTTTGCTTTCGCTCGCTAATCGCTTTATTTTGTTTATGTAAAGTTCACAGCAGGTAGTTTTAGTTAGCTGGTCAGTAAATGTCTGCCAGTAAATTAATCTATACCAGGGAATAAATCATGCACATGCATGCACAGATAGGCAAATGCATTTGTTTTTCCCAATAATAACATCAAAAAAAAATTATGTTGTGTAGAAAGAAAGAAAACATTTTGCAGAAACAGATTAGAACTTGAAAACAAAAAACGGGTATCGCGTTTTATGAGCGCGTACATGCCCGGACACTACTGTACATATATCATACAAGCTAAGGACGGGAAAATGTATTTACATATATCTTATGAATTTTGAACGGTAACCGGCTATTGCATCGTATTATATAAATATAGAGGACATTGCAGTGGACGATATTAGTATTTGCAATCAATTCAAAGTGTTAGCTACGTAGAGACGGATTTGCAAAAGTTGAATATTTTTTTAACTCACATTTTTATTAAGTAAATAAAGTGATTTGCGTATATGAGGCATTATGTATCTGCAAGAGCAACAACAATTAGATAATTATGAAAAACAATCAATTACTACGGCAATGGATATGGTAGTTAAGAAATCCTCGGCTACAATCGAAGCCAACGACGAAGTGACTATGAGATCACTGTACAGTTATCCTGGAATAAGTCAAAGGTCGATCGATAGAATTGTAATCGAGAAAATGAAGCATTTAAAAGCTATTTGTAATCAACAAGAGGATTATTACGTTCATAAAATGCTTATCGAGAATCCTGTAGTTATTGAAAGACGTGTCATGCCAATCACTCTCTCGGACTCCGCGTCATCGAATCCTAGTAAGTATCGTGCCGAAGCTTGTCGCCGTTCACGTCACAATAATAAAGTGAAAAAAGTGAAAATGCAACTGCGGCATAAATACATGGCGGGTCAACTGATGAAAAGTCAAGCTATGCTTAAAAGCTTAAAAGCTATTGTCGCTCAACTTGAAAGTGAACTTATTACACGGGGCTTTAATCCGTACCAGTTGGAAAACTTAAGAAGCGTTTTCCGCGTAAACGATATCACGACATCGGATGAGACACGATCAGATATTGATATTTAATTTTTTTTTTTTTTTGCAATTAACTTTATTTGATTTTAATATTGTAAATAGTATTCTGTATGTATGTATGTATGTATGTATGTATGTGTGGGAAAATTCAATATTCTCTCTATATTTATGTATATTCAAATGTACATAACAAAGTGTTATCATACATTTCTATATAGTTTGAATGTGAATTTATTATTTTATTTTTATTTTTACAATAAATTCTTTTACCGAACTAAATTTGTTTTTCACGAGTTAATTTAAAATTATGTTCGCATTTAAAAGAAAGAAAAAAATACAATACAACACATTTTGAAATTTTCCGTCTAAACATCAACTGATTTACTATACCTTACACTACTTGTGGCGCCAATTTGCTTTTCACGAGTTAATTTAAAATTATGTTCGCATTTAAAATAAAAAAAAAAAAAATACAATACATTTTGAAATTTTCCCCGTCCAAACATTAACTGACTTACTATACTACCTTACACTACTTGTGGTGCAAGGGTATATTAAGTTTATGCGGATATATGCAGCAATCAGAAGGACTTGAGATAGATCCATCCTTTATTCTACCGATTCAAGCTCTTCTGTCTGTCCGTCCGTCCGTCCGTCTTGTGCGCAACGTTGATGAAATTTGGTTCACTGACACATTTTTAGTCCCACCGAGGAACGATTCGGATCGCACAACATCTTCCACTGCCCAATCAATAACCTATTTAGAAAAATTTTGATATGAATTACTAGAGAGTGACGTGGAGTATTTAATGTTGGATCATTGCCAACTATAGTTTGTTTACTTGATCTTACCTTCTTATAGCGCAAGATTGTTTGCATTGTAACGGTCCGCATAAGTCCTTATACTCGGCTTCGTTACGATCGAAAAAAACACGTCATAAAGCGGTCATGAGGTATACAAACTCTTGATCTACGCAAGACTTCTTTATATGATGTTAGATTGTTCCAGAGCATTTTTCGTGTAAATTCCTTTAGTAATTTTCTTGAGACGTAATTGATGAGAAATAGCGGGAATATTCAAGTGATAATCCGAATTTATCGATAACAGGCCGTTTGCGATATTTATTTTATTTTATTTACATATGAAATTCTACTAAAATACATTAACAATGGAATTTAATAGATTCTTAAAAGTAAATTTTATTCTTATAATTATTATAAATATTACAAATTATATATAAGGAAAAGTAAAGAGAGAAAAAGATGATGCAAAAATAAAGGAAAAAAAAGAGCATAGACCGGTCGGTACAGATCCGAGTTGTGAGTGAACGCCTAAGATTTTGCAAACATACAAAAGTAAGCCAACTGATAATAGTCCACTTAAGTTTTCAAGCCATACTAGGACGTCGAGATACGAAATTGATTCAGACAAGACGTAGGCAAATCGCGGTGAATGAATTTAAAGAATCCGACGTTGAGACTAAGTAATGAATATCGTGTAGAACGAACGCTAAGGGGACTGAAAACCTTCTAATCATATCTCATTTGTTTGAGTTTTACGAAAATAAAGTTTCTAGAGAAACGGGTCGGGAGATTCAAGTTCATCTCGCCAAGTAATGTCGGTCAAATCGTTAATACCATTAATTGAGAAGGGAACGCCAAGAATAGATATACGTGAGTGTAAGGCTAAAAGCAATCTATTTTCATAAGGATGCAAAGAGACAAGCGGATACCTAGGGGCAACGGGCAGAGATTGCTTTTGAACGGATTCTATCCAATCTACATAGTATGTAGAGAAAGGAGAACACACAACCGAGGCATATTGGCCTGATTAAGCCCATGTCTCGCCTTTTCGTAATGTAATGATCGCTTAGCACTGACCTCAATGTACAGATGAAAACGTAGCCTTTGATCAAAGAGGGCTTGTAAACCCATGAAAGAATCTACATTTTCCTATTTATATGAATCGATAAAATACTCATTAATTAATGAATTCCTCCTTGAGACGGAAAGCTTCTTGCATTTTTTCGTAAAATTTAATGAAAACTAGCTAACAAAATCATCTAAGCCTGATTGAAGGAGACACAAGTATGATTCCAAGCAAAAGGAAAAAGACCGACACCGAAAAGCTATACCCTTTTGTTGTTGTCAAAATTTGCCAGACATTTTTTTAATTTGTTTTCATCTCACTTACCGCTTTAACTTTATCACAAAACGCATAAAAAATTCGATCCTAAACCATATAAACATTGCAAGATTCAGAATACTATAGGCGATCCCTTCACAACGTCACCGTTCTCCCGAGCATATGTTTTAAGGTTATGTTCAAGATAGGTGTTAAATTTAAGGTTTCTGCAATTAACCAAGCATAGCAGGGAACGCTGCACTGATAGTCAGCAGAATTCCTAATGATCGGCAGTTATCCATAACAAGTGACTCTCGGGTAGTTGACAATGTTACGATTTCGTTCTACAGTACTTTTCAGCACAAATAGTATTGAATAAGTCTGATTAACGAGTTTAAGATGTGATAAAGGCGGGAGAAACATTGACAAGTTCGGTGAGAAAGCTATCAACATAGAGGAGGAGAGGACATAGAAGCAAACTGTAAATCCAATAAGAAAACAACATTTCAGGCTTCTCAAAGGTATTAAAGCTTATGTGACACTTTCTTCTATAACCTGCTATCCTATAAAGGCACACTTTTTAAGATAAGAATGAAACTGTACATAGATATCGATATATATTGTCCTTTCAAAACGTTTACATTTTAAAATGTAAAAAAAGTTTTATTTCATTTATAAAAATAATTTTATTTCTGAGAAGACTACATAAAGACTAAACGATAAAATTCTATATTTGGCTAATATTGGAAAACAATTTTGTCAAATTTGAATTTAAAAAAGAAAAAAATTAAAATAAAAATTTATATATTATATCAGAAAGTGAATACAAACTTTTGCAAAATTTTTAACCCGAACAGCCTCTACAGCCGCAATGAACGCATTCTACGACACGCCCTTCTTCCAATTTCGATTTAGGAACACGACATATACAATTTGTACCAAAATTAGTGTCACGCGTCTGTATGCAACGTAGGCAACACAAGTTCTCATAACCGGACTTCCTCCACTTTGCGATTAAATTTGCATCTGCTATTTTTTCCTTAAGACAATAGTCATACAATTCACGGCTGATTGCCTTACGACGATAAAATAAATCGTAAATATACCGAGATTTTTGATGATGTATTTTGAAAATTGGCCATAATGATTCGGTAATACGTTTCCCTTCATGAGGTTCAGTCTCTGCTTCGCGCATTTTTTGCTCCAGCTCTTCCAAAGTAGGTTCAATTAATTCCCAACCATCTGGCGGCGGTTTACGACTGCGACGCACTTTAGGCATAATCTATCAGAACTCTCTTTTGAATACGTTTATTTAAGAATATGTAAGAAATTTCACAAATTGATAGATATGGCTTTTTTTCTGCTTATATTATTCGCTTAAGAATATACACAACTTTTGATTAATGCACATCGTTACCAGATGATGTTTTTACGAGTTATCCCGATAAAAGTTTTCTAATATGCCTAAATACCGTTTAAAGATGAATGCATTGTAAAGATGTGTTATTCTTATTATCGGATTAAGAAGGCCCAAGAAAAGCCGCGTTACAAATAATAAAGAAATCAACATATTTATGATGGTTATTATAACGAATTTAGACAGAGAAATAAATTGCATGACTAAAGGCTTAAAACACTAGCATCTCATGCTATCGGCAAGGGGCAAACTTAAATAAAGCATTTTCTTATGGTTTTACAAAGATATCTCTAACTATCATTTTTCCCAATATAGTAAGCAAATGTTTGGCATTGTATTATTAATTTTTTAGCTAAGTATTATCTACACACATAAAGTAGCTTTCATGTTCTCGTTTGCTACTTGTTTGGTTCAATGCGTAAATAAATTAAACACTTAGCTTTTTTAATTCTTTCATTCATTTATTAAACAATTTTATGCTTGAATTATGATTTTATTAAATTTATTAACAAAATTCCATTCAACATGTTTCTCCATACAGTTCGTTACTTAAGTACGAAAGTCATTCTCCTTGAGAATAACTTTTTACGTTACTCTGCTGCTTGTCAGTTATGTTCCATCGTTCCAATATAAATGTTTACCATCCCTGAATTTTAAGATACACGAACGATGTGATTTAAAACAATAAAATGGAAAACTAAGAAAATAGTTAAATAAACAAGAATTTTTAATAAAAAATGAATTATAAAAAAAAAAACAATATGTAATATTATAAAATTATTGTGCTGGCAATACTGTTAAGCAGTTCTTATAATATTTGTGTAAAACAAAGGAAAGCTTGTGAATTTGTTGAAAGTCTAATAATAAAATTTAATGTAAAGATGAAATTTTAGTAAATTTAAATGGTCGCGAAACAATATAAATTAGTACAAGTGCAGAGTAAATAAAATTAAAAAATAACGAAAGGGATTGTTTAACGCTCAACAATCATAACGATAACAATAATAAAAGTGCAGACAATGGAGCGCTAGAGTTCCATATGTTTACCAGTCAAAATTATTTAATCTAAAATAAAATTCTTTTGCAACAAATGTAATACAATATTTTAAATATTTTAAAAAATTGTAAAAGGAATCAAGCCGTCGACTTTTGAAATTATTTACATAAAGAAAAAATACGCAAAACGGAAGAAGAAGGAAATATATGTATATATGAAGATTCATTCATAATTAAGGCTGTGTGCCAAGTGTGCCAATATTCCCACTCGGACTTCCGTCCCTCTCGCCTCGTCGATCAAACTTTTCTACATCACGTCGATTTGATAACTTTAGCATTGCAAACAAACATACATCAATCGTATCGTTTATTTAAGAGTGTACGTAATATACAAATTTCTGCTTATTTTTTTTATATATTAGTTTGTATATATAAAAGCGTATCTTGCTAAGGATAGGCAATTTAAAATTATTAACCATTTATTGTTGAAACGCTATTTGATTACTTTGCTTTTATCATAAATGCAGCCCACAAATTTTATAAACACATTACTTTGAGACCATTTAAGCTGTTAGTAATATTGTTTTTTTTTTTTTTTTTTTTTTTTTTTTGCTCGTTTTATTAAATAATCTGAGTGTTTTCATATTATATATTTTTCCTTGTTTTTATAGTAAATAGCTCAACAACAATTGTCGTCGCTTATACATAATTTGTGCATATACACACAGATAAATATGTGAAAGTTTATATATATATATATATATATATATATGTCTGCTTAATTGATATTTAGTTTTTAGCTGTGTTCAGCGTGAGAATCTGTTTTTAAGTTGTTATGCATACAAATATTTTAAAGGGGTGTAAAACAATTTGAAAGTTATTTAACAAAAATGAAAATGAAATCACTCATATTGTTGTGTTACTTTACTATATATGCATTGTGCTGATAAATTCGGAAATATTTTTCAAACAATTTGCATACACACAAACTTATAGTTATAACAGTGTTAATCGAAAAGTGTCTTAGAATAATGATAGATTTAATATCAATGCTACTTAAACATAGGGGCATACAAAATTATCTCAACTATTGCAATTTTTAGGTATAGTTATATATAGCCATTTGACTATGTATCTCTAAAAACATATAAAAAAACTCGGAATTAGAGAATTCCGGAACTACATATTAAAAAGATTTATCCTAAAAATTCATCGATGGTTACAATGATACTTTTGTTAACACGAAGAAGGATACGAATCCACTTAAAAGCAGCTGATTGAAGCATTGAAGATCATTTATATGTATTTAAAAAGAAGTTTAAACCTCTTTAATGTTTTACAATATATTCCATAAGGCGCACTCATAATACTCCTAAAAAGTGCTTATTTAAGTCGAATAATAATGTCAAGATGAACTTTCGGGCGTATTCTGGCTCTTACTCATCGTAAGTGAAGACTAAGTGTTTTCGTGCCATACCTTTTTTGACTTTGGATCACACTTGATATACTGGATAAATAGTCACATCAAAACTTTCCAATATCCGTTTTGTTATTAAACAAAATTGTTAAGTTATAGAAACCACAAACAAAAAAAAAAAAATAAAATAAAAGAAAACATTGTGACCTGTAAGGTGCTTGTAATGTTGCTTAGAATACGACAGCTTATTATAAGTCTCTACCGGACATTTTCAAATTTGCAACATTTTTATAGAATTACGTGACTGTGTTTGGTGTATGCAAATTCTTGATTTGAATAACTGGCGAAGTGTATTTGGATATTCCGGCTTACCTAATTATGTTGTAGAATTTCGAATTTTATAGTCATATTGTTATGAAAATTTTTCGAAAATTTATGATGATGTGAACGTTAACCAATTACAATATCAAGCAGAGGTGTAGAGAGATTCTTAACCGAAGCCGTTAATCCTAATCGGGTGCTTGATGCGCGGCACCTCATCATATTACACAATTGGCGTGATGGGCTCGGAGCGAACACATTTCCGCTCTTACCTAGTAGTTCGGTGGCTTAATGAGACTCAAAACCTTTAAGCCTTAACGCACAGATACTCATCCTGAAGTTATAACGTCTAAATAATATAAGATTCGCTTTCTTTGCAAGCGATGTTAGTCCATTTCATATTATAATGAGATATTTAAGGGTTTGTATTGAATAGCATCTGAAAAATATTGATATATGTGGTGCGCTCAGTATATGTTTTTTGATATTAAATTTGTTCTTGTTGATAATGAGATCGGTTTTTAAAGTATTAATTAAAAGAAATTTATACTTATGGGCCATCAATTGAATCAATTGACGAGCTCTATGACATCGTTGCATTTTTCGGATTTAGCGGGCCTGGCGTGATCGTCTAATATTCCACTATTCTACCGTTTATCGGCTGGCTTATGGTTGCGCTAGCATTTTCGGACATCTTCAGCTTCTGTGAACCGTTAACTTGAGAAATATGAACGCATCGATCTGAATAAGTCTAGCATTAGGCCGGGTGTGGAGAATACCACAAGTGTGGCAAAATTTCCCAGCACCAGTTGAAAATTATTTACTGGGTGGTTTTTCCTAGAGACAGGCGGCCTTATGCGAATTTTATTGTTTTCAAGACAAAAAGTTTTTTGCCTAAAATGTCGCAAACCACTTTCTAAGTGTCTAAGTGTCTGACTAAGCTTAGTTAGCTGACCGTAGCTTCAATTACATTTTTTTCCCAGACTAAAAAGGAACAGCATGCAATGGCGTACATATTTCATATCGACGTCCGCTTACATCGTTCAAATACCATTATCTAACATATTTATGCGCGAAATTTCGAATGAATTGAAAGGGCCACGTACATCGTAAGAAGCACGCAGTTTCATGCGGAAAGCAATACTTTATATACCTAATACTTCCTTAGGTTGTTTTAGGCTTTCAACGGGAATGGAAAAAATGTAGCTAAATTGATCTGTGAGTTCATTCATAAGTGGTAAAAATCGAAAAGTTGTTCCAAGATTTCCGCGTCCGCACACCTTTCATATGACAGCGCAAGCATTTCTGCCAAATTACGATACTTTGCAACGTCTGCGATGGAATTGCAATACTTTAGATTCGACAATTATCCATTAAAGGTCATAGAGTAGCAATGTTTCGTTAACTGTATATCCGATTATAAAAACGTTGCAGTTAGTTGTAAGTTTCAATCAAGTGGACCATTTGATGCCTTCTTAATAAGAATTCCTCCCTTAATATTAATAACAGTCAAAGTTTGCTTCTTAGTACGAACTAAATGAAGAATTCATTAACGTATGATTTCTTTATTGGAAAGCGCAATAAGGAAGCTTTGCTTGTACTGGTAATTTGAAGGAAAGTTTTGCTAAACTTTTACGAGTGACGATGTCTAAAGGCCACATAATCAAGGAAAGCGATCCAATAATGTCGACGATTAGGCTCAACTTCCATCGTGATGCCATCTGAGGCGGTCAACTTCGCATAGTATGACTTGTTTCAACTAAATAAAATCATCCGTAAACACTGCTACCAGCAATCGTTGACGCAGATACAAGAAGAAATGGTCAAAAGTCATGATATCGTGAGTTTTCAGTATGAAGAAATTTAGCCGTTATCAACGGACATCATTCCTTCCCTTTCAATTAACACAAGGTTTAATAGGTGACTTATTGTTTGTTCAAACTGTGCTTTCAGTCTTATGGAGAAATATCGACATATAGATCTTTGTGAGAATACCCTTGAAAACGAGATTTTTGAAAATTGCTTGGCCGTTGGAAGAGATTAGTAATGGATTAGGTTTACGACAATACTTTAACTAATTTATTCATTCATTTTGTTCTAAAGTAAAATCAATTGTTTATTCGCATAACAGAAAAAAACGGACCAAGCAAATTTGTACGTCCTGGATATGAAAATATTTTTTAAAAAGTTTGAATTATTGCTTATGTCTTATTGCTGCATAAAATATGCTATATGGTATTCGCAAGAACGTAAACCCGTGTCTTACGAAGTTTATTCTGTATTCTGACACAAGACAAGAAAAGAAAAAGAAATGCGATATAATTTTGATTACGATAAGAAAGGTATGCTGTTCTGCTATGCTATGGCTTTATCATTAAAGTCTATTAAAATATATCAAATTTTCTAGGAAAGCATTAAGTCAAGTTACTGCCTGCCTAAGCTAATCTCTGATATTGTGATAATTAATTTAAATAAAACATTTCTGCGAACTAAAACAGTTGGTGAAGCACATATTTTCCGATTAAATGAATTTTTCTCGTCTCTGCTTCAGAAAATCCCGAGAACTAATAGAATTCCTATTTATTACAATAGCTGCAGTGAAACTTCGTAGCGAGCATATATATTGTAAATGGCAAAAACAAAAAAATGACATTCTTTATCCCAAAAAGGTGAATTCGTCAAGTGTTCGTAAGGCGTAGCTTCTCTGTTAAAAGCGAAAAAAAATCAAGTTGATGTTAACATTTTTCTTATCATCCTCAGCCTAATTTGAAGATCTTTAAAGATCGTTCCAAAAAAAAAAAAAAAAAAAAAAAAAAAACCAAGAATTTCTCAAGTTCGAGGATGCTCCCTCCCGATTTTGCCCCACATTTTTAGAAAATATTTGTTTTATCTCGGTGCAAATTTGCGACTTATGGTAGTGGTACGATAAGAAAAAGTGAAAGAAGAAAAAAAAAAAATTGTTTTATGAGAGCCGTCACGTCGTCTATATTTATTTTATTTTCCTATTATATATTAAATGAAAATAAATTATTCGTCTTACATAATATTATAATTAATATAAAATGCATGACATATGACGTAGATCAAAACCAAATAAGAAAGTCTTTGAATATTTTGTTTTTACAGAAACTAGCAATGCCGCGCAAGTCAATTTGACGAAGCTATTGATTGGGTAATCGTCACAGATGCAAAAAACGAAAATAAGAAATTGAAATTTGCCACAGGCATCCCTTGATTAATTAAGAAATCAATTTTTGAAAATTGTTTTGATCTGCCCACATCGTTCCGCTAACTCCAACATTAGCAATGGATACAGGAGGAATGAATTTGGAGGGAGGGCGACATCACTTGCGTGATTGCAATGTTGTCATAGTTTTTTCGCCTTTGTTGAAACCGAATATTTATTCGGTTAGGAATATTTTCCTTTGCTCGGCTGGCGATACACACAAAGGCGGAAGACAAGCACAACTTGTTGGCTTGAAAATTTTCGCAAGCGATCGATTAAATAAGTGAAAAAAAAAAAAAAAAATTAAATAAAAAGTTATATTCGGCGCGGACCGAATTTCGCATACCCATCACTACGCTTTTCGCATTCTACTCTCCAAGCTCTCTTATTTGATATCCATATCGTTGGTATTATTAAGAAAAAATTAATCGTGGCCGTCGTCTACCGTATTCATTTTAAAATTAACCCATTTTTAGGCAGATAATAGGTCTGCATTTGAGGAGTGTACAAAATAGTTTTAAGCATTCGTTCTTCTTGTTTGCCTTATGACAAACAAGCATTAAATCTTAGAAAAGTGAAAAATAAAACAAAATTTAATGACTTGTTACCTTATGTGCGTACGATTCCATTTTTACACATAACGAGTAGAGTGTTTCGTAAAGTATATGTGGAAAATTTCAGTCTTCTATTATTATTATTATTATTATTTTAATTTTAGACTAATGAATTGAATTCTTAGACTAAAAAAAAAAGACATTGAGCACTAGCAACACAGGCTATCGGCTCTAATTTAAAAAAAAAATGATATTAGATAATAAGCTTAGTAGTATTAATAAAGTAAAATATTGAATTGATATTCTGTTCTGAAGTTGATTGTAGAATATTCAAAGGGTTAATCGTTCCAAATGCAATACTTCTAGCCAAGGAAAAGTTGGGGCAGTCGCAGAGAATGTGCTTTATAGTAAGAGTTTGTCCACAACAGCAGATTGGGGGAGAAGACTTCTTCAGGATCCATTGGTGAGTTGCAATTGTATGACCAAGGCGAATTCTCGAAAATGTTTGGATCTTGGTTTTCTCAACATTTGTTGGATATAGAGGTGGAGTTAATTGAGGGTTAATGCAAGAGTAGTGTTGATGAT